TAAACTAAATTCTCACATCATATAGTCGGTGTGACTAAGCATCTCAATTTATGCACGGCGGGGAAGGTCCTGTTAAAGATGGAAAAGTTCAAGGCAACTCGCTCTACATCGGGTACCTCTGCTAGTATTTTATAATGTTAGAAAGCTTTAAATTCGACTAGTGCGTTAGTAATTTTGTTCGCCGTTATAAGGCGTTACCAAATTCCTATCGCATCATAACGCATTAATCGATAACACGCTATAGGTCAATGTATTATACCGCCATAATATCTAACACATTATAACATTATAAATTTATGGCATTATAATACATTAACTGTTCAGGCGCTGTAACGCTATACGTGACAGTGGTAATAAGTGTGCGGTGGGAGTTTATGTCCTAAGCCTCAAGTCAGTCACCTATATGTCTGATATAGTTGAAGTAATTTTTCCAGGACCAAGTGTTCGAGAGGAATCGACTGGCAGTCTCAGAATTTTATGGAAATGTGCCTTTCCGAGAAAACCACTTATTTTCGTTTTGGATATTGACTAACTCGTTGTAACGTATTAATACCTAGCGTGTTACACCGAGTTCCATTTTCTTATCTCATTGCAATGAGATAGACAAGAATAATGCATTGGAATCTATTCGATACTAACTCGTTACAATACGATATGCATTATCTAATGAGTTATAACGCTGTAAAAGATTTTTCCAAATGTGTGGCATTATAATTAGATAAAACATCTAAGGTATATCTAATATTACATCTAAAAGACTTTAAGCAGTTTCAGGCCGTTTAAACACTCTTTTTTTTGATTCTCTAAATAAAGCTTAGAAAATTTCATCGTACATCGCTGTCTTCCGTATGCCCGTTAGTCAGGGTAATTTCACAACTTTCGTTCTTCATCTGCCATGTCAAAGAAAAGAAGAAAAATTGTGAAATTACGGTATAGCTTTTCCATATATCTTCCTTCTTCAGACTAACATTATAGTAAGAATGCCCTCATCAGGAACTATCACATACCATCCGGTGGAATACAGTGAACAGGAGAAGGCGCTTTCTCTGTGACAGTCGGTGTTTAGCGAAAGTCCTGGCTACTTCGAGCGCTATTAGGCGAAGGAGGCCATTCCAACTGACACTCTCGGAGCTTGGAATGGCAATAAGTTGGTCAATGCGGTTCATCTGTGTCGGCTGAGTATGAAATTGCAGCCTGAAAACAACGATGGTACACCAGCGACCTTGTCATGCGGTGGAATCACCAATGTTGCAACAGCGAAGGAGTACCGGCGTCAGGGACTGTCACGTGCTCTGCTGAGTGAGGCTGTCTAGATAATGGAGAGTGAGCATTTCCACTTTTCTCTTCTTAGAACTGCTGTTCCAGCACACTACTCTGCTTTGGGCTGGGAACTGACGAAGTCGCCCACTGTCAGCATCACTTTCAGCGACAAGGAAGAGAGAGACAGCCACGCAGAAACTGTTAGATACATCTCGTTCTATGACTTAACATACGCCGACATCACCAAACTACCGACAATCCATTCCAAGCACTCTCTCTCTTTGTCAATCAATCGCTCAGTCGAGTATATAAACGAATGGGTTCTCTGGAACTGGAAGACAGATGCGGCAGTCATCTGTGTAGCTCAGAACGACGAGGGCTACATCGTACTTACTACTCAGCAACACGACGAGGATTATGACGAAAAGAAAGGTGAAGACAAAGATGCCTTTGTGCTGGAGTGGTGTGCATCGAATGAACAAGTTGAAAGAAGGTTACTGCAAGCCGCGATCACAGAAGTACAATGGAAACACGTGAAGAAGACTATTGACTTTGCGACAGTACCTCAGCATATTGAAAATGTGAAGGGCTTTCTGGAGCAGTTTGGCATTGTGACTTATCACAACAGCAAATCCACAATGGTGCGCAATGTTGATTTGAGCGAAGAGCAATTTCTAAGAGTGAAGGAACTGTACTCGAGTGGAACAGCTGTGTGGTGGCCAGCTGACCACTTTTGGGGTATTTCTTGCACCTTTTGTCAGCCTCGTAGGAGTGTTTTTTGAAATATTGTAATAAAATGCTAGCCGCTGCTGCACAGACTAGTCGATGGAGAGTAGATCTCTCTAGTTCATCCTGTGGGAACAGTTACGCCAAGAGATGAGCTGGACTATTATTATTTTTTATTAGTTATTCTTTCTTGCACGAGCCTTAAATCGTTGACATGGACTCGTGTACTGCTCTATTGTTCATATTTTCTACCCAATAAACCGGATGCTTAACTTCGATAATTTTTGATAGTATCTACGAAAATTTTTCTTCTAATTTTGATCTAGTTCCATAAATTCTGGTTAATACAAGTTGATTAATTTGGTACTGTGGATCTTTTCTGTTCTTATCATAACGTATTTTAGATTTCAGTTGATTCTGAATTGTTTCTAGCTGCTGTTTATGTTCTGCCTCAAATTTCTCCTTGTCTACTATTGTAGCAGTCCCTTCTTCTTCTGTTGTATATTTAAACGTAACTAATGTTGTTTTCTTTGATGGTACTTGCTTCGATTTATTACGTGAATAGAGTCGAAGAGCTGCTATTGTGACAAAAACTATCCTGCCAAGCGCAATAGTCTCCAATGCGTTCAAAAGAGTTAAATTTTTAAAATCGAAGAACTTAAAAATTAAACTCAGAATCGAGAATAATAGTTATGTAATATTACCTCAAATTATTTATATAGAACCATTAGTATTAGTGCAAGAAACACCAATTGAAACGATGGAGGAGATCGTTGTGAACCGCGTATGTGGCCATGCGACTTCCGAATCCCCAACTGAATTAAATGATAGACAAGAACAACAACAACCAGAACCAATTGAACTGTTACAGCAAAATAATTATCTAGAACATCTCCAGAAACGCAGAAATCGGCAATCGGATATTACCAGAAAGAAGAAGAATAAGAAACGATCAAAAACATTTCATCAAAATGATTACAAAATTAAAATTGTTCATCCAATTTATTATCGATTTAATGCTAAAGAAATATTACGTGAATCAAAATAGAAATATAGAAAAATACAAACAGAAGACGTACAAGATCAAAGATATCTAGTAATCGGACTATGGCATGAAGATCAAAGAAAATCCTTCATAAAAGCCATTGGACACAAGTTTACTGAACACCAATACAATGAACGATATGGAACAAATGCACAACTATGGAAAAAAAATGGCTAAGTCAATAATTCCGGGTGATAAATTTGGCTAAGAAGAGACAGAGACTCGGCTAGGTGTTCACAATTTTGTGTAAAAATTCTTCTTTCCATTTATTATTAAATTTTAGTTTTTCAGTCTCCGTTCCTTCTTCTCTAATTGAAAAAATCAGGCGAGGGAAAGGTGTTATGTCCAGGTTATTCTATAACCTTGACATAAGGCTCTATTCTTTCTTTTTAGTTAGTCTCTCTTTTCTGTCATACACATATACAAAGCATAGTTATTCTTCTTTAGTTTCTCGTCCTTTCTATTTTGACCTTAGTCCATGTTGCACCATTGTTATTCAATTTTCATTTTTCTTTTCATTGCTATACTGGGAAAATACCCGTTACCATATATATATATATACATTTCCTTGACAGTAAATAAGAACAACAATAAAGTTTTAAAATAAAACCAAAGCCACTGTCTTGTTTAAGATATAGACGGATTATCTAAGTCAACTAATCGAACATCCAATTGCTCTTCCAGCATCTTGGAGTCCTGGTGGTTGACAACTAAGGCATGGTCGTCCCACAAATTGAGGATATGTACGATATACCCAAACCCTCGCACGACATCGTGGACATGTATAATAGATCTTGTCGGCGTCACTCATTGTTAGAATAAAGCCTAAAGGAGTAAAAATACATGTAAGACCCTGTTTGTGCTTGAATGTTTATACTTGCAGTTTGTTATTCAACGAGGCTGATAGTGTGATTGGACTGTTAACTTGAGAATATATATAATTTCAGTTCTCGAAACGGAAAAGGAAAGGAAAAATTCACTCCAGTTTGGGAAAAAATCCATAGTTTATACATTCGGATTTTTCAAAGTTTGCATGGTCTTTTCTTCCCAATACACTGCGTATGCAAATAATGGGAGAAAATTCGCAGAAGAAAGCAGAGCTTTTTTGTTTAAAATGCAGAGAAAGTGACATTAAAGGAGTAATCAAGAAAGAAAAAAACTTGGCTTGTTTGTCAGTGAATTACGTATGTATTATTTCGATAGTGAATGTGAATTTTCACTTTCCTTCTGCCATTCGAGAAGTAAAACAATAAACAAAATAAATAAATGCTTACCTGAAACATTTAAAGAAATTTCAGTGTTTTTTAGCCGATCTTCATATTGAAATTTGCTCTCGTAACATCTTGTCTGTCTTGCCTACCTAAGAAAATTGCTTCAACAGCACCACCATCTTTATCAAACTTAACTTTAATCACCTGTCCAGGATCGACATTTTGTGAAAGGGACATCATACCAATGCCAAATATAAAAAAATTAACTATTCATTTAACGGAATTCAGCAATACATATATTATCTATTGGACATTATGATCAGTCTTGTAGAATTAAATGTAGTAATACTTGCGTATTGCGATGATCCAATACTTCCGTATCGATCAAGCAATTGTTCAATTGAAGCACGCAGGTTGTTTGAAAAACTGCATTTAGAATACGGAAGTACGACATTTTTGAACAAATTTTCGGAAAAATGAAAAACACATGAAACGCTGGAAAATTTTTCAAAATTTTTCAAAATTTTTCAAAAATCAATTGAAGTTTTTGACATTGATTGTTACTATTATAGACATTTAGAAGAAGGCTATCCGGCAGAATGCTTATTACTTTTTAACGAAGATAGCTATCGACCTGCGGTTTTCACCATTTGAAAGAGAAGACCGAGGGACGTAAATGTGTGGAAAATTTGATTGGTCTCGCAATCGACCAATCGGATGAGTGCTTGGTAGACATTTTGAAATCGATATTCTGAAGACATTTCCCATTTGCTTTTAGCTTGTAATATCACCACTCGATAGAGAAATGTTTTGCTCTCTCAAACTGCACAAAGCCGACCTTACTAGCTTGTTCCATTCAGGAACTATAAGCGTTGTCCTAAAAGCCCCGATTTCGGCTATTTGACCTTGAATGACCGCAAAATAGGTCGACATGGTGGTAATCGGCCACCCTGAGTCGAGTGGCAATGTTTGTTTTCAAGTCGGCAATGTTTGTAGTTCAAAGTCTCGAATTTGGAGGACGATCAGTCCAGATCCCGACTTATTCAAAAGAGTTGATTATTTTAGTGGACTTACGACAGAATACCATCGCTATCATTTACTTCAACATCTCCTTCTAAACAGTTGATTATTCACAAAATCATACTCAACTTTTTTGCTCCAATTATAGGCCAATGAACTTACTACTAACACTACTATGCAACCCAATTCATCGAATTCAAGATCACGGCCAAATTTAAGCTCGATTGTAGCTAGTTAACCTAATTAAAAGGAACATTTATCTAGATCCTGGAAAAGAATAATTAGCCAAAAATAAAGAAATAAGAATAACGAAGAATAAGGAAGTAGTAATTCAATAAAATGCTTAACTAGATTCTCTCAGATTAGGATATTTGAATACATGTAATTGTTTATTAGTAAGAAATTGGTAGACGAGTTTTTGTTGAACACCGACCGGTCTAATTAATACCAAGGAATCTTTTTTGATTAAACAATTCCGTGAGTTTGTTAAAAACTTTTCTGTTTGATCTAAAAGTTTAATTTTAAGAATATTCTTTATTACTATTTTGTTCATCAAAAGATAAATATTTTCATTATTCTTATCCACTGTTATTATGGCTGAAATAAAACCTAAATGTATCTCAGCTGTTGTTTAAATATAATACATGAATCATCTGCTTTACGCGAATGAATATTTGTTTTATAACCAGTAGTATTATAATAAATTTTATCATAAAATGTTATATTATCTAAATAGAATATTCCGGAAAGAAAATCAATATATAAATGATATGTTAATTGAGATTATTTTGGAAGATTGAACAGTATTATTCATTATTGTTTTTTTTTTACTCAATAGTTGTTCATACATAAAAAACGGACTGACATATTGTATTGATAAATGTGCATGTTCCATCGAATGAATATTCGAACTATAATAACGCGTTGTATATAAATTTCTAAACTCAAGAACAAATGGATTTATTAATAATTTGATTGCTGAAACATCATCTTTTGTCGTCTTATCCCCATTACCGATATTCATTGCATAAACAAATTGTTATAATATTTTGATTTTAATAAAGTTTCAAATGCTGAGAAATCAAAATGAACGATACCTTTAAATTCACTATCTTTATATCTACTATAAATAGCTATAGGACGCGGACGGCAACACTTTTTATTTGGCATTCGTGGATTATCTAACAAAAGTTGAAGTTTATCTAAAACGTATTGACCATGATTACATACGATATTTTACATCTAACCAAAGTGTTAATAGTTTTCTCATAACACCTTCATAACACGCATGAAGATCGTCAAGCAGCCAAGACTGACCTACATCAAAATGTTTAAGGCGACGAAACTCACAATATCCTATACCATTGCAGTAAAATGACCCCACATTTGTACATAGAGTTAAGTAATTCAAAAATCAAATACTATTTTATTTTTAGCTTCTTTATATATGATTCGATAGAGAAGTTGAAGCTGATCACCAACATCGCGTTTTTAGCCGTCCCAGTGCACGTTTGCGCGTCGAAAAATTGAAGATACGAGAAGGGTCTTAAAAGCTGAAAAACTTTCCCGTTTCGAAAAAAGTTGAACACTTTTTCTCCTTTTTATTTGGAAGCTCTCAAACAGCTTTTTTCTAATTCAGCGTTGAAAATCGAATTAGAAAATGTGCCTTTTATGCTTCCCAAATGTAATGTCATTGCACGAAAAATGCATCTTCAAGGATATCTCCAAAGCGGCGACCTCATCGAAAATTAATTACTATGCTCTCGCTCCAACGACTTTTTTTACTTTTTAACTTCTTCAATTCCTTTTGTTTGTCCTGTGTTGCTTTAAATTTTTTCCTGCCTTTATCTGTGTGTGTGAGAGAGTGCGATGGCGTGAGTGTGTGAATCTAAAAACCTAACCTGGTTATTACGCGTGCAGTTCTCGCGATTGTCTTTCTGTAACATTTCTCTCAACTCCTGCTGAGAATATATACGTCAGACGTCATCGATATAGTTCGGGGTTTCGATTTTCAGAAGTGGTCGTTCTCTTACTATTGAGACAATGAATCGATCTGCAGAACCAGTCACACATCCTCTTATAAGTGCCGTTCTGACGCTTAACGAGAGAAAAAACAAATTCATTGTCATAATTCTCAATAGTAAGAGGACGATCACTTCTCAAAATCGAAACACCGAACTATTGGATTGGACTTTCTTCTGGTCTGAAAATCTCAAAAACATAGAATGCATAGATAATCGATGCTCCTGACTAACGTGACAACGTTTATTTTCCTATAAAAAATAAAATAACCTCGACTACTGAGTTGGGAAAACCGCAAGTTTTTGTCTTTTTTCTAACAAAAGTTATTCAAAAACCAACCGAGTACGTTGTATTTTGAAACGGATAGTAGTTCAAATCACCGTCCAGGTCAGGTAACGATCGTGACTCACTCTCATGGCATCTTACATATAACTATCATAAGAAACCTATATGGTGACTGAGTCAGTCAGAAAATAATAGAGAATTCGCAGTTGATCGTTA